CTGTACCCCCCAAACTCCCTCCCATCTAGTAGCCCTCAAAATAGTCTCTGTATTTGAGTTTGTTTTTGTTTTTATTGTTGTTGTTTATTTTATTTCATAGATTCCACATGTACCTGAAATCATGTGGTATTTGTCTTTCTCTGACTTAATTCATTCAGTGCAATACCTTCTAGGTCCATCAAGGCAATATCTTTTTTCCATCCTCTTCATTTTAGTCTGTGTCTTTCAATCTGAAGTGAGTATCTTATAGGCAGCATATGTAGGGGTCTTGTTTTCTTATCCATTCAGCTTGCCTATATTTTGGGTGGAGCACTTAATTCTTTTCCATTTGAGGTACTTGTTAATAAGTAAGTAGTTATTACCATTCTTTATTCATGTTTTTGATACATGTTTTTTCTTCTTAAGAAGTCACTCCAACAATTCCTGTAAGTAATGCTGGCTTAGTGCTGATGAATTCCTTTAGCTTATTTTTGTCTGGGAAGCTCTTTATCTGTCCTTCAACTCTAAATGATAGCTTTGCTGGATAAAGTATTCTTAGTTGTAGATCTTGGGTTTTCAACACTGAATATTTTGTGCCAAACCCTTCTGTCCTTCTGTTGAGAAATCAGCTGCCAGTCTTATGGGTGCTCCCTTGTAGATAACTGTTTTTCTCTTGCTGCTTTTAAGAGTCTCTCTTTGTATTTAACCATTGGCATTTTAATTATGATGTGTCCTGGTGTGGGCCTCTTTGGGTTCATCTTTTGGGGGACTCTCTGAGCTTCCTGGGGTTGAATATCTATTTCCTTCGCCAGGTTAGGGAAGTTTTTGAATCATTATTTCTTCAAATATATATTCAACTTCTTGTTCTCCTTCTTCAGGTACTCCTGAAGATGACACAGATGTTGTTACCCTTAATTTTGTCCCATAGGCTCCTTAAATTATTATTATATTCATGGTTACTTTTTTCTTGCCGTTCTGACTGAGTGTCCTTGGCTTCCCCATCCTCTATATCGGTGTTTCGATGCTCTTTTTCTGCCACTGTTGATTCTCTCTGATATACTCTCTTCATCTCAGATAATGTATTTTTTCATTTCTGACTGGTTCCCTTTTATAATTTTCATTTCCATTTTTATGTTTTTTATCCCTTTATTAAAGTTCTCACTGAGTTCATCTACACTTCCCTTAATTTCATTGAGCATCTTTATAATCAGTGGTTTGAACTCTGCATCTGTGAGATTGCTTGACTGCATTTTTCTTTGATCTATGTTCTGTTCTTTCATATGGTTTCTGCTTGTCTTCCCATTTCGGATGCCTTTCTGTGTCTGTTTCTATGTACTAATCAAAGCTCCTAAGTCTCCTGGACTTTTTTTTTTAATTTATGCCTACAGCACCTGGTCTTCCTAGGTGGTCTCCCATCCAAGTACTAACCAGGCCCGACCCTGCTTAGCTTCTGAGATCAGACATCGGGCTTGTTCAGGGTGGCATGGCCGTAGACCATGGACCGTTCCTCCACTAAGGCACAAACTCAGGACCTTCTGCATGTAAAGCAGATGTGCTAACTGCTACACTATGAAACCATGTCCTCCCTGTCTTATTAGCGTGGCTTTGTGTAGCAGGTGTCTAGTGGCACAGTCCTGAGAGGGACTAAGTTTAGTCCCAGCCTGTGCTCCTCGAGGATCAGCTGTTAAGATTAAGCAAGCAGTTCACAGATGTTATGCTTCTAGTTGCCTCAAGAAACCACACCAGAAACCAAGGTCAGCTGCTACTAGTGAGTCTTGGAGCTGTTCAGCAAGTGGCACAGAACTCACCGAGGACACAACTAAATGTGGCTTGGGTAGGGCCCCCAGCTGAGGGATGTGGAGTTTCAGGGAATCCTCTGAGAAGAGCAACCCCAGTTCAATGACGTCTCAGCTATGGCGGCGCTGAGTCCGTGCACTGGGAGAGGGGAGGGCTCAACAGAGAAACAAGGGATACCACTGGCACTTCTGCACAGGAGAAAGCCTTGCCTCTGGCCCTTGCTCCAACAACTCAGTGTCCTCCTGTAAGTCCCTAGTGCCCCCCATGCAGTCAGCCCGGCGCTGGTGCTCAGAGCGAGCAGGTCTGTCAACGAAGAAGTCTGGTCGCAGTTGCAGAAACGGCCCCTTTAAGAGGTGTCTGCAGCTGCCACTGCCATAGTCTCTGTCCCATTCAGCTGCTGGGGACCGGGCAGCCTCAAGTCTTAGGCCCCTCCTACCTATTGCTGGGTGATGTCTTATTTCTCTAGCTGTTCGTCTAGATCCCCAGGTGACTCTGCTTGCTATTTGCTCCAAGTTTCTGTCTCAACTTTGATGTGGTCGCAAGAAAAGATGAGTGAAGCTTCTATCATCTATGCCATTTTGCCTGGTTCTCAGGAAGCTTGCTATTTTTAAAGAGTTGTCAAGAAAGGCCTTTTCTGAAAACACATCATTTGAGTAAAGATCTGAAGACACAGGAGAGTGTGCCTTGTGTATTCATGGAAGAATACCTCTTGGATGGAGTGAATGGAGAGAGCAGTAAGAGATGAAGTCAAAGAAGTAATATGGGCCTGATTATGTAGGATGTGTAAGGCGACTAATATGGACTTTGGCTATTCTCAGTGAGATGGTAGCTGTTGGATGGTTTTGAAGAAAAGGGTGACAAGACCTGACTTACAGGATTATTCAGGAAACAAACTGAAGGAGAGACAAGGGAATAAATAGAAAGACTGGTAAGGAAACAACTATAATAATCATAGTAGGTGCTCAGTATATATCTATTCATAAATAGGAAAGTGATTGGCACATGGTTAATAATGGCAGCTAATTACTTACTGTGAGCCAGATAACATTCTATATATCAAAATCTTCTAATCCTCAGAACAACTCTGTGAGATACTATTATTTGCATTCTGCAGATTAGGAATTGTGGTCCAGAGATTAATTATTTACCAAAGGTCACTAAAAATAAGTAGGCAGTTTTACTCCAGAGTCCACTTTCAATCATTATGCTATACTATCTTGTAGTAGGAGCTCAATAAATAAACCACCACAACACATGGTGCTGTCCTCTAAAGATCTGGCTGGAAGAACACGCATGTGAAAACTAGATTTTTGAAAAATCTTTACACAAACACACCTAAGAAACACAAAGACTTTGGACTAGGAAACTTGAGATGGAAGAGTTCTGGCTGCCATTTGGGGAGCATATTCCCTCTTGGCCTTCTTTTTATATCCGTATCTTGAGGATTGAGCATTCACATGTCCCTGAGATGTTATAAAGCTGTCCCTATGGAATTTGTCCAGTGAGTAGTATAGAGTATAGATCACCATAATGCCGTGATCTGAAATCTATTTCATGAAGATAACAATCAGAAAAGATAGAAAAGTATAGGGTATGTTGTGGTGAAAGGGAGTGAATTTGGTCAGAGCACAGCTAGCGCCTATCAATTATGTTCATTCCAGTAAAAATACCACTAATAAGAGCACTAATTTGTCTTTGACATTATTATTATTAATGGAAAATGTATTAAATAAGACTAAGGTGATTATATCATCTTTAGTATATATTGACCTGAAAGTGTCAGAAAATGCAATTGTACAAAAAACAAAATGAGAGGTGTAATAATTGGGAAGGAGAAGGGAAAATTATCATTATTTATGGATGGTATGATTGTCTTCCTGAAAAAGCAAAGTAAAACAACCGAACACAGAAAAAGTAAGAAAGTTCAGTAAGTATACCTGTCACAAATAAAAGTATAAAAATCAACTTTTTATTGGAAGAAAGATGCAATGGAGAAAAAGATCACTTTTGTAACAGCAACAACAACAATCTAACATAAATTTGAGTTATGTAATGAGCCAGATTAAAAAAAAAAAATTGTAATGTAGGACTTAAAATAAGTCTTGGTCACCAGATTGTAGGCTCCAAATAGCATTTCCTATTATAAGGAAACAAGGTTACTTGGAGAACATGGTAATTCCGGATTTGGGGCAGGATGAGCCTGGATATCTTGTCATATTAGAGATCAAGGAAACTATCAAAGACTAGTAGGATAAGGTCAAAATGACTGAGAAGGTACCAACTTAAGAGGCTCTTGCTGGCTAAAGATGGGACAATTTGATCATCAATAAAGTAACTGTAATAAAGTATGTCATGTGTTAAAATCCACAAATTTATAATGACCCCAATAAAGGACAAATACATAAGGTATTTTTTAAAATGCAAATGGCCAATAAATGCAAGATCTTAACCCTCAATTAAAAGTGCAAATAAATATAATACAATATTATTTTGCACCTAGCAAAATGACTAAAGGAAGCCAAAATCCAGTGTACCAGTGCTATGGAGAAACACGTTTTCTCATTCATTGTAGGGTGGGAATGTAAACTGGTACTGCTTTGGAGAGCCACTTGCACCAAAATTTAATACACATTCACTTTGAACCTGCAATTCTACTTTCAGAAAATTTATCCTAACCTGACAATCAGACGAGTAGGCAAAGATGCATACAAGAACACTCATTTTAGGGTTGCTTATAATAGTGAAAAATTACAAATAACCAACATGGCCATCTAGAGTCCTGGTTAAATATACAGTAAGATACCATGGAGTCATCAAAAATGTCGTGGATCTGTACTTACAGAAAAGTGTGTACAACATTGAGGGGGAAAGAGCAATTCATAAAACTGAATGGTTCCAATTTTGTAAATGAATTCCTGGATGAGATGTTCACAAAAATCTTAGATATGGGTTGACTATTAGTTTTTTTCCTCTTATGTTTAGATTTTTACACCCATCATTTATTATTATTATTATTATTATTATTATTATTAACACCTACAGCACCTGGTATTCCTAGGTGGTCTCCCACCCAAGTACTAACCAGGTCCAACCCTGCTTAGCTTCTGAGATCAGACGAGATTGGGCACATTCAGGGTGGCATGGCCATAGACTCATCATTTATTATTTTTAAAATAAAAAATTTCAAGCTATTTTCAATTTTAGGAAGTCACCAAGAACAGAACTAGTAATACTAATAACTTTATTATGGCATAAAGCAGTATTTTATACATTAACTCAATTTTATAGTAAAAACATTTTATGTACAATTGTAAAGAAACCGCTGCACAGATACTCCAACATAAAAAAGTGTTATATTTCAAAAGTTCAGTGAGTTGTTTGATATATAAATTGAAAAATATTTTCTCTGTAGAAAATAGTAAAAATGATAACATTTCCCAGGCTAGCCCAACAAGCCCATTTAAACAAAGCAGTAGCTGAATTATACATTTATAAATATGGTTTGAGGTCTGGGATCCAGGAAGAACTTTAGCTTCATTTATTGAAATAGTCATGTTTTCCTTAAAATTAAGTTGCTTAAAGGAAAATATCCCACAATCTTCCCCTTTGCTCTTGATTTATGCTTAATTATTTTTCTTTAGGCTACTCCACATCAAGGTTTTAGCTGTTCCTTTCTAAAGGACAGGTACTGTGTCCTTTTGAACTGCTTGATAAGGTACTCATTCCTATCCAAACTATGAAATGTTTTGGTTGTTACTGAAGTACGCTCAGTATTTGAGCAAAATTAGAATCTAATAAAATTGTAATACACAAGGTACATGAGTTGTCTATCATCAAACAACTTCCCCTAAATCCCTGAGGCCTGATGGGAAGACATGAGGAATAGGAAGAAAAGTGATAAAATTGACAAGTGGATCAAGGAATTAAAGCAAGAGGATTTCTGAGAACAGAGAAATATCCAATCAGGATTAAAAAATAGAACTGAGGGGCAAATAGAAAGAGGAAACTGCCTCAGCATTGGCTCTCTGAGCCCTTTATTGCCAGGTGATCAAGAGGCAGTCAGATATAGACTAAGTGAGAGAAACCGGGGCCTAGAAATACTTGTTATTCAAAATAATTAAATGAAAACAAGACAAGCCATGGAGTTTAATTCCTCCCACCATAGCTTATTCCCTGAGAGTCTCAGTACAGAATTTCTAGGAATTAAGGCAAGAAGACAATGCCACTCTTAAGTTCTTGCACCATGCAGAAAGTTTCCCAGAGAATATCTGAGAACTCAGAGTTATCTGGCCAGGGGATATATTAAGTTCCTCAGTTCCCTCAAAGCAACGACTAAAAATAACCATATAGTTTTTCCTTAAAAAAGACTAAGCAGCTAAAACCTTTCAATGGAGTAGCAGTCTAATAGAAAACAATGTCCTATATCGCAGCTATAAAAACGAGGCCCCTAAGAAACTAAACTGGATCATTCTACCTAAAAACTCCAGTGTTCCCGTTAGAAGTTAACCTCAGAAACATTAATGACTTACTAAGTTTTCATCATTAAAAGAATACTTTATCATGCATCTTGTTTCTCTTTGTTTTCAACAGATATTGTTTCCTTCTTACATGTAAAAATATTTTCAGTTGGTATTTGGACTCTCCAGCAATGAAAAAATCTCTGCCCCCACTCCCTTAATTCCTTCTTGGTAAATAATGTTAATCTTCCAATAGGAAGAAGAGTACATTATCATCAAGCCCTATTTACCCAAGCCTTACTTATGAAGAAAGTTGTGGGACCATCTTATAAATTTGAAATTCCTTAAAGACACTTGCTCTCTATTAAAATACTTTGTTATATATGTAGACATATGGATATATAAAATCTGTAATGCATTCACTGCAGCATAAACCACCTTATATTGAGAAGCTAAAAATGTATCAAAATGCACATAACAATGGCTAATTTACATAATGTCTCCTATCAAATGTATCATCATCCTCCAAATCAAGAGCACATGCTGGCATAAACTTTATTACATCCCAGCTAAGTTTGAAATCTTGCTTCAAAACACTGCTCAGTATTAATTCTCAGAAGACATGTTACAGGGCCACATGAGTAATGATTAGGCAGGTGGCTGAGGAATGCCAATTACAGAACAAAACCTGACTACTCAAAGTGTTTCTCCAGAGACTGTTGCATGTCCCCATAGGTACTTAAGAAAGAACGCTATTAAAATAAAACTTTAAATATGAAGACAGATCAACTTAAAGAGTATAGACAGCTTCCGATGCATGCTTGATTTTACCTTACCATCTATAGACAATGCATTAGAAGAAAAATGTAATGAATTCATACACCTTTTCAAAAAGAAAACCCAATATAGAAGTAGCAATAAAGTTATAAATGACAATCATCAGATGAAATAATTTAAATGAAGCTTATCTCTCTGGAAAAGATGCGGGCCTGGGCAAGTGGTCAGGAAGGAAACACAATGTGCTTTTAACTTTGTATGAAAAAGAAAGTTCAGTTCAATGTTGCCAAACACAGTTCTGTTTTGCCATATAAATCCTCTACTTCAAATTACTGACCAAATGCTTTACTAAAACTCCGTTTCTGGCCTTTGTTGTTTTGAAATCTGTTACTTCTGCCACCTCCTGATCGCTGTCCTCTGAAGTTTCTATTTCCTTCCCTTTGTCCCCTGAAACCTCTGTTTCCTTCTCGCTGTCCCCTAAAGCCTCGATTGCCTTCCCGCTGTCCTCTGTAGCTTCGGTATCCTTCCCGTGGTCCTTCTAGGTCTGGCTGCTCCGTGGCCACAGAGAGCTGCCAGCGCCGTGAATCATGCCATTTTTCCTGTTGAGAGATGTTTGTTTTTACATGCTTCCGTTTTTACTGAATTTGGTTTAATAAGGCATGAGAAAGACAACATTTTTTGCTCTTTCTCAAAGAGAAAAACCAATCTGATAACCTAAGTGCTTAAAAGGTTATTGGTCAAAAATAATACTAACTCTCATGGCCCAAAAACCAGTCACTAAAGTGTAGGAAAATAAGTTTCACTATGAGAAGTACCCTTGTAATGTATCTTCATCACAGTCTCGTTTATTCAATTCAATTCTACAGGGCATCCAAAGCTGTCAGGTAGAAAAACATAAATACAAACATGTTTCTCACAGCAGTACTGAATAAAGATGTACTAATTAAAAATGTTTATGTAAACCCTGTATAACATATACAGGGAAAAAAGCTGGATATTGTTCACAACTCTGTAGAAAGGAAAACAGGCAGGCTGAACAAGAAAAAAATAACAGAATAAAAGGCTGGTAGAAAAAATACTAAAGTTCTTAACGTTTAGTAAAGGAACCAAAGCTATATTGTTCCCCTTTCCATTCTGTACTGTCAGTGATGAACATTTTACAATTTAGATATGTTAACTTCAAAATCCAAGTGAAAGAATACCTGTATTTCTGTTACTGCTGCAGTAGGGACATCAAAACAAACACCCTAGAAATCAAAACAAATTCAAGTTAATCCAGCCTTTGACTAGAATTATAAAATGCACATCAAGTAATACTCTAAATGACCAAGAATTATGTCAAATAAAAAAAAAAGTATCAATTTTAGATAAACTTTAAACCAAGGCCAACATATTATATCTCCCAAAAGCAAAACAGCAAAAAGTCAAGGGTGCAAAAAAGTATTCAAAAACAAATTAGAACTGACTAGAGATCATTCTTTGCTATCGCACTGTGCTAATCCTCAAGTAGCCACTAGCAACATTTACAGCTGAGGAAACAGGCTTGGAGAGGCTAAGTGTCTTGTCTAAGGCCCCACCATTGGTCAGTATGTCTCCAAAACCTATGGTATAAAACCATCAAAATATACTGCCTT